CTTCTTTAGTTTTTGTAGGGCTAGTGTCAATGTGAGTGGTGATGCCTGCTCGGATATTATGATCATAGTTAATATAGGAAACAAATGTATACCTCACTTTTCATTTCTTGTCAGTTGTGAATGTTAGATGTATCTAATTAACCACCATGTGTAACAGTCACAGCTCCCCACGAATATGTATATTGTGAGTGTCCTGGTTGTCCTGTGCTATGGTTAGAGTGGAATGGGGAACGGACGGCTTGCAGTCAGGTAGTTGAGTAAGCACCCTCAGGTGGATGCAACCCAGAATGCGATCATGGGCTATTGGTAGCTTTTCGTTTTTACTGTTCTGTATTACTGCTCTTATTTTGTTAAAATTATACTGAGTTTATCTTCTCTTTGAATTAAATTTTCTTTCTTTGTGGAAAGAATTTCTAGAATGATGAGGATGAGAAAAAGTGGTCTTTCTCACTTGGATTGAAGGAGAGAGAAATTTTTGTGTAACAGGCAAGTTAATATAAATTTCAAAGGAGAAATAGCAATAAAAATCACTTTAAATCAAGATAAGAATTTTTTAGATCTGATGGAAGTGGTCTCTTGATAGTTGAGAAGATACTTGGAAATTTTTGTTTTTACAGCTTGCATGTGGATCTGGTTATTAGTGGATTAGAACCCCCTGAATGCAGTAAATATCCGTAGTCCATACTGACCTGAATATATAAATGAATAATAAGTAGATGGGGGAGAAGGGACAGGCTTTTTTTTTTTTTTTTTTAAGATTTTATTTATTTGAGAGTGAGAGATAGAGATCACAAGCAGGGGGAAGGATGGAAGAAGTAGACTCCCCACTGAGCAGGAAGGCCCATGCAGGACTCCATCCCAGGACCCTGGGCTCATACCCTGAGCTGAAGGCAGATGCTTAATTGACTGAGCCACCTAGGGACCCTAGGGACAGTTCTTTCTTACAATAGAATCCTAATTAACAAATACAGAATGAATGATGGAAATAGAAAATCATTAAGCAAATATCACAGTAATGACTATTAGAGGCAAGAATTATCAGTAGATAAAACAATTAATGGGGCAAAGGTGTGATGAGAAACAGGATATTTGCAGTATCTCAAAATGTATTCCTACAAGAACAAGATACTTGATGATTACAGAGGGTGGAGCGATCTGGTGGACACCACCGTAACCAAGTTAAAAAGTCAACGTTGCCAGTAATGAGATGGGTGTCCTCCTGTACGTCCTTAATGGCTCAACATCACTTCTGGGACATTCTGGCCAAAACTGCACAGGCTCAACCTAATCACGGGAAAGCATCAGACGAACCCAAATCAGAGAACACTGTAGGACATAACTAGCCTGGACTCTTCAAAGTCATGAAAGGTCAAGGTTATGAAAGGCAAGGACAAACTGAGGAACTGCCACAGAATGGAGAAGGCTAAGGAGACTTGGCAACTAAATTCAGGGAGGGATCCTGAATTAGATCTTAGGCTGGACAAAAAAAAAAAAAAACCCAAAAGTGGGACAGTTTTTGAACATGGAATAAGGTTTATAGATAGTTTGTTTTATATCAACATAAATTTCATTACTTTAATTCTTACCTATGGTTATGTAAGGTGTTAAAATTAGGAGAAGTTGGGGAGAATGGGATTTTGGAACTCTCCCCAAGTTCGTCAGTCTAAGATTATTTCAAAATAAAAAAGTTAAAAAGGAACATTCTGGAATGATTTTGAACAATTTGGAATTTCTTTGTTGGCAGGGAGAGGACAGTGATATATCACAAGACACCTCTTCATAATCTTTCACTGGAGTTTCAGTTTTGCAATCAGTTTGCAAGTCTGATTGTTTCAGGTTTTGTTTTGTTTTGCTTTTGAAAGCAGTAGCCCTTTAACCTGTGATCTAATCGACCCTTCAGTAATCATCCTAACACGTTTATTTCAGGTTTATAATTGTAAGAGACCTTGAGCAATCGAGACTTAGCTCCACATAGTAGTGAAACCGGGAATTTAATACTTTGGATCGTTGGGTTTTTTTTTTGTTTTTTTTTGTTTTTTTTTTTTTTTTTTTACAAGGTCCAGCTTTCTCTGATCTGAAGCCATGGGTATAATAGAAACATTTCAGAGAACTAGTCTAATCCGTAAAGCCAACAAATGGTAAGATCAAGGAGTTGATTCTCTTTTTTCCCAAGGAGTAGATTTAAAAGAAAAAACCCTAATGTGTCTTTATTGCCTTCTGGGTATTTTAAGTTTCTTGAGAGCAGCTTCTCTGCCCCCTTTCCTCGTCTGTCTTCCCAGGGTTCCAGACACTGTTGTCTGGATAGAACAGTGTCTGATGCATTGTCAGAACACCGAAAAGGTGCAAATCCAAGTGGTGGGATCTGGGAAGAGAAGAGAATGGTGGTGATGGAACTAAAGTGTTTTTTTCTTTTTTTTAAATCACAAATTTCCATAGAAAAAATTGATTTACCCTATTAAGTCTTAATTCCATAAAAATCTTTGATCCATAAAAAAAATAATAAATAGGAGATTCAAAGTAGAATAAGACACCAAAAAAATCAGAGCCCTCTGACTTCCCTGTTGGCAGAGACGTGTCCTCTATGAAATTTAGCTTTCTAATTTAAATTAAACATCCATCTCGGGGTGCCTGGGTGGCTCTCAGTGGGTTAAAGCCTCTGCCTTCGGCTCAGGTCATGATCTCAGCGTCCTGGGATCGAGCCCTGCATCGGGCTCTCTGCTCGGTGGGGAGCCTGCTTCCTCCTCTCTCTCTCTGCCTACTTGTGATCTCTATCTGTCAAATAAATAAATAAATAAAATCTTTAAAAAAAATGGGGGCACCTGGGTGGCTCAGTGGGTTAAGCCTCTGCCTTCGGCTCAGGTCATGAACTCAGGGTCCTGGGATCGAGTCCCGCATCGGGCTCTCTGCTCGGCCGGGAGCCTGCTTCCCTTACTCTGCCTGCCTCTCTGCCTACTCGTGATCTCTCTCTCTCTGTCAAATAAATAAATAAAATCTTTAAGAAAAAAACATCCATCTCTCCTGTTGTTGACTTTTTACTGCATTAATTTGTCTCAGTTTTCTCATTAGCATTTCATATGTGTCTAAAGTACTCTATCTCCTGTTTGCTTTGTCTTCTGTTAACGGTATTTGACTTAGCTGCTACATATATTGCATGTCATTGCAAAAAAAAATCAGAATTTTTAGGAGTTGACTTTGAGGGGTTTGAAGAAGTTCTTCATCAGTCCAGAAGCTGTTTTAGTTGGGGGCAAGTAGAGTATAAGACTGTCCCATAGAATCAAAGGCCTCTTGGGGGCTCGGTTAAAATAGATATACAGACTCTCACTGAGGTCTCTTCAGCCCAGATGACATCATCTCCAAGTCACCTTGGCCTCAAAGTTGAAGTAGTATTAGATTATTTGTTCTCTGCCACAAGGAAGCAAGGACTAAGTCAGGAGTTGAATTCAGATTCCTTAATGCCTCCCATCCCTTTGGTTACCTATGTCTTCTGTCTCCAACTCAGAATTTGTTTTGAGACACCTTTTTCTTTTAGGAAAGATGTCCAGGTGGTATTATAATAGATGAAACAGAACTGGCTTTCAGTGTAATAAAAGTCTAACCACACTTTAAAAAAGTATGGTACAACACATAGCATATAAAATTAACCATAATTTTTTTTACAGTGATTGCTCAGGAGCTTTATTTAAAGTGCCAGATGAAAATGCAACCTTTTCCTCCCAGCTGGAGAAAAATGTTATAATTAAATTAAATTTCTGTTTTACTGTACTTGGAATGGAGAAGACTGAACTTGCCTCTTTTGTAGTCCTTCATAGGTTTTAGCTAACTTTAATTCATTTGCCAAGTAAACAAATTGAATTTTTTGTGTGTGTGAGGAGGAGGATTTGATTTTGAATACCTGTTAAAATGTACTGTATTTGTTAAGTGTAATTTTTAAATTTTAAATTTTTAATTATTTTTATTAACATATAATGTATTATTTGCCCCAGGGGTACAGGTCTGTGAATCGTCAGCCTTACACATGTTAAGTGTAATTTTTAACTACCTCATTTTTTTTTTTACTCTTGTTTTCTTAAGGCAGACTTCCTTTTTTTGGTTGTAGGAACTTGCATCTAGATATCTTTCATACCAAAGGACATGTAGTGTTTTCGAGTCAGAATTGCCAAGGCTACGACTGTGTCCTGTATCAACTTGCTAAATGTTTAGAAAGCCTAATATCAAATCCTTGAGTCTTCTCAGTTATAAATCTTTTAAGCAACATCAATATAGTTGGCGTCAATGGAGCTACTATTTTTAGAATGCCAGTGTAAGAGCAGTTAGCTTTTCCTGCCTCCGACTTCGAAATGCAATTTGAAAGGATTAATCTGAAATGTCCTTTGGTTAGGTCTGACTCACTGTCATTTACTTGTAAACCTTTGGTTCATATCACCATCTGCAATGGAAATAGGAGTTCAAGCACAAGAAATATCTTTAGCATTTCTTTCCTACCAGGACACGGATGACAATGAGGGACAACCAGGGGCCCCGCGAAGTGATTTTTTTTGTCTGAAGAAATGATTTTCATATTATTTAGAAGAGTCTATTCCCAAGGAGACAATGAGGTTTTCATAATTCCTGAGGCACTATCTACCTGGCCTTAGTTTTTAATGGTTCTAAAGCTAGAACCATAATCTTTTAAACATTTCTTAAATGAACATGGAGTGATAAAGAACATCTTTCATATATATATATACACAAATAATTGGGGAAGTCCAAAAGTTTGGTTGTCTGGTCTTAGTAGCTGCTGAGGGTAAGAATGGAATTTGACGAAGGAGTCCTGTCTTGGGTGCTTCAAGTGGTGGCTGTCGTAGAAATTGCTGCTTGTCTTATCACGGAAGTGTGGAGAGAAAAAGTTCTCGAACCACTGGTATAAAGTAATCCAGACAAGAAGGAGAGGTCTTTGAAGGCTGGAACTCTGGGCTCCAGTGAGGAGAGAGACCTCATCTTGTTAATATCTCTGATTTCAGATTGCCTCCCTGGTGCCCGTGGATCAGTTTCAGCTCTACCAGCGGTTAAAATTTGAACGAGGTATGTATGCCCTCCTCTTTCTGTCCCCATGTTGAGTTGTGGCTTTCCATGTGTCATCTTCACACTAAACTCCACAGAAGGTTAAAGAGGCTGTGGGCTGTCAACGAAGCCACAAGGGCACTCGGAAAGGGGAAAACCTGGCATTGCACGGTAACATTTCAGCTTTCTCAGCCTCAGGCAGAAAAAATGCAGGCTAGCAGGAAATAGAAGCTTCCTTATGTTGGCTGTTGTGTATTTTTAAGTTGGCTCATGTGAGACAAGTTCTGCAACAGTTGTATAGTTTCACACAAGAGGATGTTCCTTAAAATGCTTTTTACCACCGGCTTTCCCACTCGTGAAGATCACTTCAAAACCTCCACTGACCCAAACATTTTTACTGCTGCTTGTAATACTCACTATTTGTTCTTTTGATACCACACCTGTAATCAGAGCAATTGTGTCATTCTAATGCAATTTACAATCTACCAGGCTCATTTTCTTTCTGGCTTTGGCCTTGCGGTAATTTATATAGCTTTCTATTTGTACTCCCTTTTTATCTGTAAGATTTATTTATTTTTGTTCTTTTACCAAGATCTTTTTTTAAGTAGCCCTTCCTGTCCTGTCACACTCTGGACATTCTTGAACTAAATGGTCTTTCTTTCTTTCCTTTTTTTTTTTTTTTTAAGATTTATTTATTTTAGAGAGAAAGAGACAGTGTACATGCATAAGCAGGGAAGAGGGGCCCAGGGAGAGGGAAAGGGGAAGTAGACTCCCTGCTGAGTGCAGAGCCCAATACAAGGATCCTTCCCAGGACCCTGAGATCATGACCTGAGCTGAAACCAAGAGTCAGACGCTTAACCGACTGAGCCCCCCAGGCACCTCTAAATGGTCTGTTTTTCTATATCTGAGAAATAGGAGAAAGTTGTTCCCCTAGAACACATAGTCTCATTGACTGAATAAAATAAACTCTCATCTAGCATGAACATGCAAGTTTTCTGATTGCTAGCTCTTAAATCTGGATTAGTAAAGTCCAAGAGGTAAAATGAAGGAAAGAGGAACATTTCTCTCTTATGTGTGAGTCTTTCATGGGTTGTCTCGCTTGTCTTATCTTTGATGCATTTTAAGTTGATCAAATAGTTTGGCTCATACATAGAATTTATTTTTTTTATCACAGGTTCTAGGCAGATGTCCCACTACAGATCCCATGAATTGATCATGGATTTTATTATCCTTATTTTTTAGATGAAGACAGTAACAATTGGAGAGGTTGAGACCTGCCTAGCATCACATAGACTGTATCTAAGCTTCTTCATCTATAGGAATAATTCCATATTTTTAAAAAGATTTTATTTATTTATTTGAGAGAGAGGGAGAATGAGAGCGAGCGAGTATGAGAGGTAGAAGATCAAAGGGAGAAGCAGACCCCCAGCTGAGCAGGGAGCCCAATGCGGGACCAGATCCCGGGACTCCAGGATCATGACCTGAGCTGAAGGCAGTCGCTCGACCAACTGATCCACTCAGGCGCCCTCCATATTTTTTTCCTTAGGATAACATCTATCTAAAACATAAAACATACCATTTCACCCATTTTAAGTGTACAATTCAGTGGCCTTAAGAACATACACAATTTTATGCAAACATCACTACCATCTCTTTCCCAAGCAGAAACTATAATTAAATAATAACTTCCCATTTCCCTTTTTTCCCCAGCCCCTGGTAACTTCTGCTCTGCTGACTGTTCTGTAAATTTGCCTAGTGTAGATATTTCATGGAATTGCAATTATACAATATTTTCCTTTTGGGTCTGGCTTATTTCACTTGTATAATGTCTTAAAGGTTCAGCCATGTCGTGCGTGGCATGTCTCAGGACTTCTATTTCTTTTTATGGCCAAAGGATAATATTCCATGGTATGTATATACCACATTTTGTTTAACCATTCATCTGTTGAAGGACACTTGGGTGGTTTCTACCTTTGTCTGTTGTGAATAATGCTGCAGTGAACGTTGGGGTACAAGTACCTTTCCGAGTCCTTGCTTTCAGTTCTTTTGGGTTTATACCCAGGAGTGGAATTGCTGTGTCAAATGGCGATTCTATGTTTAGTGTTGGAGGAACTGCCGATTAGACATTTTTACTATTGTAAAGTGTGGGGAGTACGTTATATTTGGAAGTATGTTAAGTCTGGTGACCATGTGGTTCAACTCCTTCATTTTATAAGAAAGGAAACCAAGGTCCAGAGACATTGATGTGAGATGATTCTGGAAGGCGATTTGTAATTCTCCAGTACCAATTCAGGCACTTCTTCATTGTCATCCATAATACAGAATTATTATTAGACAGTAGGCATGCCGAGTAAGAATCAGTATAAGTTAACAGTGTTACATAAGGAAGTTTACTTGATCGGCATCGTCTGTATCTGAATTGTGTATCTCATTTTTACTCGGTAGACTTCCTGTCTACCTCAAACTCAAGACTTATCAGCTAGGTGACTTTAAGGTCTAGGCCATGAAAGTTTTTTTTTTTTTTTTCTTTAAGATTTTATTTATTTAAGAGAGAGAATGAGAGAGCACGGGGCAGGGGGAAGGGAAGAGAGAGGGCAAGAAGCAGCCTCCCCACAGAGCAGGGAGCCTGATGCAGGGCTCCATCCAAGGATCCCAGGACCCCAAGATCATGACTTGAGCCTAAGGCAGATGCTTAACCAACTGAGCCACGCAGGCGCCCCTGCCATGAGAGTGTTTTATGTGGAACTGTTTAGAATGGGATCTTGGGATGTTTTAAATACTCATGTTGTGAATGAACTAAATGACTAATTGGAAAGTAAAAGTCTCTGGCTGGGCTCTCAGATACAGTTGTAGAAATTGTGGTGGCTCTGGAAAAATGGACAATCAGATCAGTGGCAGCCCTGTATCTGAATTCCCAAAATTTTCATTAGTTTGCCCAGTTCTTACTCCCTACCAAGTTCTCAGTGTTTAGTTCGTCATCTGTGTTTTGTCTTCTGCTTTACGTTGCATATACGGTTAGTTCGCCTTTTATAGCTTTGTTTTCATCTAAGTTTTCATGGGGAAAAATATTTTGAATAGGAGCGAGCCTAAACCATCACTGTTTATATAAAGTGGAAAAACGGCATTTGGCATTGATTGGTTATTCTATGAATCCACTCTCCTTCCATCTGTGACTTTCCGTTGGCTACTACCGTGTTTACGGCTTTCCTCTTCTGTGTCAGCCTTCCAGTATTAACAAAGAGAAGAGGATACTAAGTTTGGCATGTGTTAGTGATCACTGCTGTGCTCTCGACTGGTTCTCAAAGCACATGATGCCTGATGATTAATGTTAGAATTTGCTTGTCTCTCGAATCTGCTTGCCCACAATCTCCTTTTTCAAAATAGGGTATTTTTTTTTTTAAACTGGGTTAAGATTTTCCATCTCTAGTCCTTAAGCACTTTTCCTATTTTTCTGTGACCCTGTTTTACTTATTATAATTGCAAATTGTTTCCGTTTCTTGGTAGGTTAAAGGGTCCGTTCTTGGATATTTGTATTCTCACGGAGTGGCTGGAAACTCCTACAAATGGTTCAAGGGTCATACTGTTCTCCTTTGGAGAGAAGTGAACTAAAATAAGAATTTATTTTCCTGTTACCTGTTAATCCTCCTGCATTCGCTTACGTCTTCAGTATTTCCTTTTTGGGGGACCGAGTATCTGCTGTGTGCCAGGTGCCCTTCTAGACTCCGCCGTCAGCCGCGGCCCCGCCTTGCTCTGAAAGCTGTCCACTCTGAGCATTTGTCCCAGCCTCCTTTTGCTATGAGTCCCCACGTTTATGATATGGCTCTTTTTTTCCTCTTGTGCCTTTATCTGTCCTTGGTGAAATGTTCCCCGCCACTCTTTTGTGTCCATTCATGGAGGTTTTATCTCACCATAGTATGAGATAAACACACTGTCTCACCTAGTGTGTGGTTATTTGGTTTCTTTCGGTGTTTTTTCTTTTTAGGGCTGTGGGATACTTTAATGACCTTAGTGTCACTTGGGTTTGATTTTTTTGGTTTTTTTCGGTTTGATTTTTTTAACACCTCCTGTCTCTCACGAGGTATCTTCCTGTTCGTCGCTGCTGACCGCAAGCCCATTCTTGTGCTTGCACGTGCATGCATGCACATGTTCTCCTCTTGAGCCTGCTTTTCTGGTGTTTTGTGGTAAATGTGTGACTAAGCCTAGGATTCGCTTGCGAAGCTCTTCTGGGCTTCTGGGAGCTCACACTTTCTCCTCGGCTTCCTGCTTCCTCTCCTTTACCATCAAGTCTTTCTTGTGGGTTCTCAAAATCTAAAACCGCAGTCTCTAGCAGTTTCAGCTAACAAAACCTGAAGTATCTGCAAGAAAGGACATTTATCATTGAGTAGGATGACATTTCTAAAGGGGACCCAGATATTCTCCATCATGTGAACTGTTTGCCTCTCCCTGTGTGCACTTCATTTTTTTCATCTCTCAAAGGGGGATGATAATGGACGGCTTCTGCTAGGGCTGCTGTACAGAGTGAGTTAACACTGTGTGTCTGTCACCGTGTCGTCGTCATTGTTGTTGTTTTGTTATTCATCACGGCCACCACCCCATCTGATCTTTACCCCAGTTTTCTAAACTAAATGAAGAAGGCACCTTCTAGAACCCAGATCATATCTTGACTGAGCGTATAACACAATAATACCACTTTTCTTCCCTTTTCATCTTAATTTGTATCTTTTTCAGCATGTTTCTACCCTTATTGTCCTAGATTCTAAAGTGTTGTATGCTTCCCCAATGTTCATAGCAGCAATGTCCACAATCGCCAAAATGTGGAAAGAGCCAAGATGCCCTTCAACAGACAATGGATAAAGAAGACGTGGTCCATACACACAGTGGAATATTACTCAGCCATCAGAAAGGATGAACACCCAACTTTTGCATCAACTTGGAAGAGATTATGCTGAGTGAAATAAGTCAAACAGAGAAAGTCAAATATCATATGGTTTCACTTATTTGTGGACCATAAGGAACAGCAT